CTAAAATTATTTCAGTGTTAAGCCTTTTCAAAAGTCACCCAGCTTAAGGTGAGTGGTGTGGTTTTTGTTTTGGAATCTTTCATTTAGTTGATAGGTGACATTTAGAACGGAATTGAGTTGGTTCCAGGAAAACATTGATACCTCTGTTAAATCATGTACTAAATGAAGTGTTGGAAGCCAAGAAATAAAATTTACAAATTGTAGAAGTTAACTTTCCATTTCCATTTGAAGGAAGAAGTATGACACTAAAGGGTTGTGAAATTCTAACTTTTACTTCTGTGCCATCCATTTTCCTTAGTTGTGGGCTGGAGTAGGGTTTCTTACTGATACCTGAAAGAATCACAAGTTTATATATAGATTGATATTGTGTTTTTAAGTTGAACACATGGAACTTAAGATGGCCATTTGGCAGATGGAACAGCATTTGAACATGTCCTTGTATATGAAAAGTTTCCTTGTTAAATTACTTCCTGAGAGTTAAACTCTTTGGGTTTAACCCCCTAATCCAGAACTTGGATGGACAGATGGTGCTTTTTAGGTCTGGTAGAAATATGCTAAGAAACCTGTTTCTCTTGGGGTTTTTTTGGTGCATATTTCTTTAGCCCCACACTAGATTTTTTAATTTGAACTCCACTGAGGATCTAGATGTTTATCATGTGTCTAACTAAAAAATCAAGTTGGTTTCGTGTTCATAGTCTCAATCAGACCTGTTCATTTGGAAATGAATGTTGAAGGAATTAATGCTCTTTGACTTTGAGCATAGCCTTTATTGGAAACATGCTTGCTTCCCCCTCCCCCTTTCAAATACCACAGTATTTGAAAGTGAATAGACTATTTACTACATGTAACTTTGAAATAAAGTTTGTAAACTTCTCTGATCTAATTACTAAGGATGGGTTTTGTGCATTATATAAAAGCTTAATACAGTGCTCTTGTCATTTGAAATTATTGTTTGTGAACTATTTGCATAGGTTTTTTTGGTAGCAGAGAAATACCACTGTATCTCAGTAGTTGATTAGATAGTTAGGTTGGTCCTCTAGAAAAGTTTTGATATCTTTCAGAAGTGTTATTTTTGTGATGACCCTCTGGCCCTTTAATTTTTAAGGATATTAATTTAAAATGTGCATTTTTTTTTTATAGTCTTTTGGTAATTTTATTAGTGACAGTGAGTACTATTTGAATGAAAAAATAACCTTTTGAATAAAGTTGTTTGGGTATGTGTATGGCTTATATTTTGTTCATAGCATTTGTTTTTAAGAAGTAGTGAAAGATGAGCTATCTTTATTTACTTTGGGAAATAATTTTAATAAGCCATACATAGGTTTTGTTTTCTTTGACCTGACTATTGGAACGGTTTTGCTGTTAGAGGGAAAAGCGTTTTTCCTCACTGTTTTAACCCTCTTGGTCTAAATAGGAATTACCCTCACAGCCAGATTTTTATTTCATATATGGTTGAGTTTGGGGGGTTTTTAGGTGGGTTTTTTTCCCCTCGTCATACATGTTTTTGATATTTGATGATGTTTGGGTGCAAAGCAAAGCATATTGAAAATAATTGTGCTAATTTTTTTGAGTAGTGTCGATAAACCGATGATTTAATTTGTCCAGGAATTGATATGTGAAATTGTCATTTTCTTCCCCCATCAAAGATTTGATGTTAATCTGGGAAAATAGGCAGCATTTGGACTTGTGTTGTACAGTTTTCTGGACATTTTCATGACATTGTTTTCATTAGGCCCAACTGGTTTAATCGAGATTAAAAGCCGTTACCATCTGTGGAGCTGAATTTTATGACTGATTTCAGTTAATTTTGGGACAGATTTGACACATTGTCGATATGTTTTGAGATATTTATTTTAAATCAGTGAGAGATGAAAATAATGTGTAGGAGGTTGGTACCTATTGTTCCCTTCCCCCACCTTTGCTATGCATTCTAATTAAGTGCTCTGGTGGTTTCAGTCTTGCTGCCTTAATGTACAGTTCAGTGTGGCCTGTGTGTGTTGTTTTGTGTTTCCTGCATTGATTTTTGCCTCCGTTTATTCTCTATTGCAGTCTAAAAGTTGGTTTTAATTGGTTGCCCACAGGATTGACTTGGCCTCTACTTCTTGTTAAGAAAATACATCTCTTGTTTTATCAGGTAAGAGATTTTGAATAGAAGGTTTACTTTTATACAAAATAAAATGTAATGGTTTAAATAACAAAATGTGTGTAGTACCAAAATTACTAAATTGTAGTTGGTTTCATTCCCATTTTCCCCCACTACTTTTAGAGGTGAAGTTGGATTGGGTGGACTGGGGTGCTTTCAACAGTTGTTGCTTTTCAGGGGTTATTTTATATAGATGCATTTCTTCTGTTGCGTTCCTGATTGTTAGGCAGCAGGTAGCTATTTTTCCCTCAGTCGCATGCTAGACCAATTAGAAATAGAGGTGCTTATTTTTGATATGGTTCTTTATTCCCTACAGGTACAGATATTGAACTGTATAGAGTACAAATTGTAGTTTATAGAAGTAAACTTAGTGATTGGAGTCCACACCACTTGTCATTTAATGTTACGCTTAAGATGAATTTAAAAGGAATTCTCCAGGTTTAGATATTTAGCAGAATAGTAAATGCTATTTTTTGTTTTTCAGAACTTTAGAAGTATTTTCCTTTGCATGTGGTTTTATGAATAAATATGGTATTTTTTGGTTTAATCTTGAATCCTAGCTAACTGGTAACAGAGGCTCATTTTCAGTAAAGTATGTTGTATAGACTTTCAGTAATCCCTTCTTTCATCAGAAGTTGGTTTAAAGATTTACCATTTATGTCTTTTTAGCCCTGTGTTTGATTTTTATTTTGTTGGGACCATATCAAGTTATTTTATTGTCTCAATTCGACCTAGCATTTCTTTCTAAGTTGTTTGAGGTCTATAGATTATCATGATTTTTCCCCTTTAGAAAGTGTAAATTAGGAATGGAAATAACCTGGAAACTTCTTGAATTTTCTTAGAGGCTGTGAAATAGTTAAGAGTCTCGGTTGGTTAGTTTGGTGTTTTTTTTGTTTGTTTTTTTTAACTTGTTTTTTTGGCTTGTTGACTCTTGGAGACCAAAACTGAAAAGCTTCCCCATTCTCCCAAAACTGGATGGTTTAAATGGCTACTATCTCTGGCTCCTGGCTGAAAAGTTAATGGTTCATGTCCACTCAGAAGTGCCTCCAAGAAAGGCCTGGCAGCCCACTTCTGAAAAATCTGTGTTTGAGTACACCTCTACTTTGATGTAAATTGGGTCTCCGTGAGTCAGAAATGACTCAGTGGCAAATGGTTTTATAATAGCCTCATAAAAGAGCATTTTTTGTTTTCCCATATAGCTTTCTGGATTAATCTGGATTTAATTAATTTTTATATTTGTGCTTGTGTGTGTATGAGAGACATTGGTAAAGCCAAACATTTTTCCTCTTGTTCATGGCAGTCTTAATATTGAGATCTTTACAGACTTCATTGTATTCCGTTAATATTCATATGTTTGACATAATTGCTTTATAGAGTCACAGAATTCTTAAGAGTTCGAAGAGCATTATGAAAAAACCAAAGCTCAAATGATAAGTAATTTTGATGAAGTCATGGAGCCATATGGGCATATTTTAAAGAGTAGATTATTTTTTTAGATGGCTTGGAAAACACTCATATTGTTGATTATGTTAACTTGAATTAATTACTATTGGTGTGTTGTTTTTTTCTAGTTTGGAGAATTTCATTTGTATAACTTGACAAAAGGCTATTTGTGCATTTAGAGAGGCCCAGTGACCTAGTGGGTAAAGAGTTGTCCTGCCAACACAAAGGCAAATGGTTCAGATCTACAAGTTACTTTGAGAGAGAAGGATGAGCATTTTTTTCTGTGTGATTTACAGCCTCTGAAAACCCACTGGACTGTCAACTATGAGTCATTTTTGACCCTGAGACAATAAGTTGAGTTGTTGAATCTTTGCATTTGCACTAAGAAGCCATTAGAACTAGAAAATCTGAAATTGACTTAAATTGGGAGGAAGCTTTCCTTTTAATTTTGCTCAAAATGGGCATGATCTAAGCCAGTCAGTAAGCAAATAGAGATCCCTCAGGAGTTAAATGTTGAGTCAGGAACCATATTAGTCATTGACTAAATTTCATATTACCTCCTTAAAACGAAGTAACTTCATTTTAATTCTAAGACACTTTTTTCATCTTTAATGAAGGGTTAAGGAATAAGTGTTTTAGTTAACGACTGTGATGAATTGAAGTGTAACTGGGCTCAACTTTCTGAAGTGATGACTAAATACATATGTAACTCAAATTTTGATCGTTCAGTATTATTTTTAATCGTTCAGTATTATTTTTAATATTTTCACTTTTTGTTGAATTTTGAGCCTGCGTTTTATATAATTACACTGCTCAGTAAAGTTGTCAGATTCATAGGGGAGATGGTAAACTTGTTTAATGTTATTTTTAGTGAGAATATACAGAAAAACATGCTTCTGTTCCTCAGTTTCTAGACCTTAATGATCAGTGATGTTGGTTAAATTCTCCACCACTCTTGTTTGTTTCTGTTCTACTTGTTTCACTTGCTAAGCTGATTTTAAGAAGTAATTTCCATGCATTCTTTCTATGTTTTCCTCTTAGAGATTGTTAAATTTTGTTTCTTGATTCAATGTACACATTTCTTTAAAATCTTAATAATGAGTGGCTTGAGTGATATAACTGGTGTCCTAGGGTTCTTTTTTCCTGAAACTTGAGTCTTAGAGATGAACTTCAAATTGTTTCTTTAATTAATGCCTTTGGAAGTTGAAATTGTTTAGGTTTTACATTGTAGATGGCATGTAATGTTTAGTTTTTAAAATAGTCAAATTAAAGAAAGACATTGCCTGTAATAGTGCCCATGGGATATATTTGAGGGCCTTTTAACATGGTAGTTGGTCTGTCTTGTAGCTAAAAAGTTGGTATGATAAACAGGAGTCTGACCTGGCCGTTGCCTTTTCTCATCTGCAGGTGTGTGTGGTTTCAGCGCAGCATGGCTGTGGTCATCCGTTTGCAAGGTCTCCCGATTGTGGCGGGGACCATGGACATTCGCCACTTCTTCTCTGGATTGACCATCCCTGATGGGGGCGTACATATTGTAGGGGGTGAACTGGGTGAGGCTTTCATCGTTTTTGCCACTGATGAAGATGCAAGGCTTGGTATGATGCGCACAGGTGGTACAATAAAAGGGTCAAAAGTAACATTATTATTGAGTAGTAAGACGGAAATGCAGAATATGATTGAACTGAGCCGTAGACGTTTTGAAACTGCCAACTTAGATATGCCACCAGCGAATGCTAGTAGATCAGGACCACCGCCTAGCTCAGGAATGAGTGGTAGAGTAAACTTGCCTACAACAGTACCCAACTTTAATAATCCTTCACCCACTATAGTAACTGCAGCTACTTCTGTTCATGAAAGCAACAAAAACATACAGACATTTTCCACAGCCAACGTAGGAACAGCCCCTCCAAATATGGGGACTTCTTTTGGGAGCCCAACATTTAGCTCCACCATTCCGAGCACAGCCTCTCCAATGAACACAGTTCCACCACCACCAATTCCGCCAATCCCAGCTATACCGTCTTTGCCACCAATGCCATCTATTCCCCCTATACCAGTTCCTCCTCCAGTACCTACGTTGCCTCCTGTGCCTCCTGTGCCACCAATTCCCCCAGTCCCTTCTGTGCCACCCATAACAACATTGCCACCTATGTCAGGCATGCCACCCTTGAACCCACCACCTGTAGCACCTCTGCCTGCTGGAATGAATGGGTCTGGAACACCTATGAATCTGAACAGTAACCTGAACCCTGTGTTTCTGGGTCCTTTGAATCCTGTTAATCCTATCCAGATGAACTCTCAAAACAGTGTGAAGCCACTTTCCATCAACCCTGATGATCTCTATGTCAGTGTGCATGGAATGCCCTTTTCTGCAATGGAGAATGATGTCAGAGAGTTTTTCCATGGGCTCCGTGTTGATGCAGTACATTTGTTGAAAGATCATGTAGGTCGAAATAATGGGAATGGGTTAGTCAAATTTCTTTCACCTCAAGATACATTTGAAGCTTTGAAAAGAAACAGAATGCTGATGATTCAGCGCTATGTGGAAGTTAGCCCTGCCACTGAAAGACAGTGGGTAGCTTCTGGAGGCCATATCACTTTTAAGCAAAGTATGGGACCTTCTGGACAACCCCATCCCCCTCCTCAGATGCTTCCCAGGTCAAAATCACCCAGTGGGCAGAAAAGATCAAGATCAAGATCACCACAGGAGGCTGGTTTTTGTGTTTACTTGAAAGGGTTACCATTTGAAGCAGAAAACAAGCATGTCATCGATTTTTTTAAAAAGTTAGATATTGTGGAAGATAGTATTTATATAGCTTATGGACCCAATGGGAAAGCAACTGGTGAAGGCTTCGTAGAATTCAGGAATGAGGCTGACTATAAGGCTGCTCTCTGTCGCCATAAACAATACATGGGCAATCGATTTATTCAAGTTCACCCAATTACTAAGAAAGGTATGCTAGAAAAGATAGATATGATTAGAAAAAGACTGCAGAACTGCAACTATGACCAGAGAGAAATGTTAAATCCAGAAGGGGATGTTAACTCTGCCAAAGTCTGTGCCCACATAACAAATATTCCATTCAGCATTACAAAGATGGATGTTCTTCAGTTCCTTGAGGAAATCCCAGTGGATGAAAATGCTGTACATGTTCTTGTTGATAACAGTGGGCAAGGTCTAGGACAGGCATTGGTTCAATTTAAGAATGAAGATGATGCACGGAAGTCTGAACGCTTACACCGTAAAAAACTTAATGGAAGAGAAGCTTTTGTGCATATAGTTACTCTAGAAGACATGAGAGAAATTGAGAAAAATCCTCCTGCTCAAGGCAAAAAGGGACTAAAGATGCCAGTGCCAGGTAATCCTCCTGTTCCAGGAATGCCCAATGCTGGACTGCCTGCTGCAGGAATGCCCGGTGCAGGAATCCCTGTCGCAGGAATGCCCGGTGCAGGATTGCCAGCTTCAGGACTGCCTGGTGCAGGAATTCCTGGCACCAGAATACCTGGTTCGGGAATACCCGGCGCGGGGATCCCCAGCTCAGGGGTCCCCGGTGCGGGAATACCCGGTGCGGGAATACCCGGTGCTGGAATGCCCGGTGCCGGAATGCCAGGTGTGGGAATGCCCGGTGCGGGATTGCCCGGTGCAGGAGGTGAAGAGCATGCTTTCCTGGCTGTAGGCTCAAAGGAGGCCAACAGTGGACCTCCTTTTAACTTTCCTAGTAATTTTGGTGGGTCGAACTTTGGACCACCACTCCCTCCTCCAGGATTAGGAGGGGCCTTTGGTGATGGTAGGCCTGGTATGCCTTCAGTTGGAAACAGTGGTTTGCCTGCTCTAGGACTGGATGTTCCAGGTTTTGGAAGTGGACCAAATAATTTAAGTGGGCCATCAGGATTTGGAGGGGGCCCTCAGAATTTTGGAAATGGTCCTGGTGCTTTAGGGGGCCCTCCTAACTTTGGAGGGGGCCCTCCTGGTCTTCGAAATGCCCCAGGTCATTTGAGTGGGCCACCAGCCTTTGGGCCTGGCCCTGGCCCAATCCACATTGGGGGTCCCCCTGGCTTTGGTTCTAGTTCTGGAAAACCAGGACCAACAGTCATTAAAGTGCAGAATATGCCCTTTACTGTGTCTATTGATGAGATTTTAGATTTCTTTTATGGCTATCAAGTAATCCCAGGCTCGGTGTGTTTAAAATACAATGAAAAAGGTATGCCCACAGGTGAAGCCATGGTGGCCTTTGAGTCTCGAGATGAAGCCACAGCTGCTGTCATTGATTTAAATGACAGGCCTATAGGGTCAAGGAAAGTAAAACTTATATTAGGATAGCTGTTCACGTAAATACATTGTAGTGTAGATCTACATAGTGCTGTGATTAATCCACCAAGATTGTTTTCATAGTATTTCCAGGTTAGAACCTGTGGATTGTTTAAATCACAAGTAGATTGGTTTTTCCGTAACATAGCATTGGTTGACTGTTTACAGAAGACTCGTTACCAGAATAAACATTGTTGTGTGTTACAATTCTGAAAAGAACACAAAAATTATTTTGGCATACCATTAGAGAAACTATTTGTAAAATTCAAATTATCATATAAAGCTTATCAAGGAGACTAGATTGGTTTTATTTTATGCCATATGGGATGAAGAAATTTAAATGTCCTTAGAGCTAATTTAAAGGTGCTCTTACCAGCCACTGATAAATTTGAATTGGCTACTTTTGGAATTTGGTTAAAGCTGGACAGATTTGCTTTGTTACAGGGTCAAAGCTTTGTCTAAAGTCCTCATTTTCTTTCAAATTGAATAAAATCTCTGTATACAGATTCATTGTATGTACTTTTATTGCTTCTTGAGGATTCTTGCTGTATAGACAGTCCTGCTTCTGAAATTGCTGCTTTGTTTTGCCTAATTGACTCATTTGTAAATGA